AGAAAGTGCAACAGTTTGCAATGGATTTGCATAATCACCAAACGATCCTGTTGGCTATTTTCCAAACTCTGACCTAAAAGGACGACTAAATGTTTAGATTATCCAACTCACGTATTTTTTAAATCGATAAGTTGCTTATTTCCAGAATAATCTAGCATTGAATGCGGTTTAATTGAGGTTTTAAATTTTTCCAATGAATTGAATTCCTTTTTATCTGCATAAATAATCATAACAGGCATTGTGATGCCTCACTAGGTCGAGGATAATTAAATTTCCTCAGACACAAGAAGGCCAATGTCATTTATGTTATATTGAATTCCATCTTATGACCGTGTCTGTCTAGACATTGAGCACTTCTACTTGAAAGATAAATAAAATGTCATATTCTATTGTTGCCATATATTACATATATTTCCTCTGTACACACTTCGACTTATTATTTATTTCCACTACCTAAGAAATCTCCTTACTTTATTTTCATTTGTTCCATTTTTTCGCTTCATTGAATCTCTATTCTATCTCTGAGTAATGTCAACTATTTTTTGTTCGTTTTATTTCTTCACATTTCCGTTAGACTAGCATGTAGTGAGTTTCTCGCGTTGCTGTAATGAAAGTAAACTTATAGGAAGTGACTTGTAGGAGCACAGGTGGGTCGTAAAGTTTCCCCCTTTCCCTCCCTCACAACTTGTTCGTTCAATGTAAGAACACTTGGTGTGGCTTAGACCAAGTTTCTATTCATAAACAATTATTATCTCTATAATGAATGGTTCAATTATTATTTTTGAAAGATCATTCGATAGAATACTAGTGAGAAATTAATTTCAACGTGTTCTATTTCAATTTTGAACTGGAAGGAATTAATTACATATGATGAAATCAATTAAAATGAATATTAGAATATTAAAAAAGAAATGTCTTCGACAAAATAATTTATAAATAATGATAAAATTATTTCCAGCAATGAATCAGAGTTAATTAATTAAAACTATTCAACATGTTTCCTCTATACGTAATTATTGATATCCTGATATAAAAACTTTGCAATAAATTTTAATGAATTTCGAAAAAAGTGGAATAATTTTATTTTAGTTCAACATTTAATGAGTAAATATAATTTCCGTAATCATTTGAAATACTGTAATTGGTATTTAGATTAATTTTATTATGAGAAATTATTTCATCTAATTTATTACTCACAATTATGATTATAATCTTAAATGAAAAAAATTAACTTTATTTTTATTTTAATTGTTGTGCAAGTCGTTGGCTTAATTGAAGCAATGCCGAAGCTATTTTATATTTATTTATTCGTATCATTATCACAATATTGTTTTGTATAAAATATTATCAACATTTTCAATATTACACGAGTATTACACTTCGAAATTTCAGGTAAAATATATTGATAGTATCTGGTTTACGTGAAGTTTAATGTGAGTATCTAAATTACTGTGGAATTTAATGGAAGTTTACAGGAACCTTAGTTTATGCTTATGTGGAAAATTATATTTTCAAACACACGGTTAACTACGTAAAGTTTCAGTTACAAGAATGATTTAAAATATAAGATCGATTATTAATAAAACAGGGTTACAAAAAATGTCCACCTTTTAGATAAACACTTAAATTTTATTGGAATGTTCTGCTAATTATTATGATGTTGATACCAAAAGTTCTTTGATAAAATTTATTATTTATTATTTTGGTAGACTGATAATCTAGCAATTGACTAGGAGCAAATCAATTGAAATTAATATCAACCGAGTCAGAATATAAGGGGTTCTGGATCGGGTATCTTGCTCATCTCATGAGCCTGGGGCTTCTCGTAATGATGTTGTGGATTAATCATAATTGGAACAGTTAGAAATGTTTATCAATAGTAAAAAGTAGACTTTATCAAGCAAATAAAAACACTCCTTAATATTTTATTATCGTTTGAATGAATTATTTATGAACAATTAAAAGAAAAATTCTAAAAGGAAATGTATTAAATAAATTTACATTTAATTTAAACATTTTGATAAAAGTAAATTCACAGATTAGAGGATAAATTAGAGAGTTAAAATATTTTAAGATAAATCACGCTATTCGTGACAACAACAAATAATTTTACTAATTTTATTTTAATTTTAGATGTCAATAATTATATTTAAGAAATGTACTTGAGCACAGTATTGATTATATAAAAATAAAACGACTAATCAATTCATTAAAAATTAAATATATAACAATTATAGTTCGTATTAAAAATAACAGGAAATAAAGTTATATGATATTGATCATTTACACAAATATATCCTTGAAAGTTAGACGCCTCTTTCATGACGTTTTTTTTATTTAGTCTTTCCACATCAACTTTATCCTATATTCTCCATCGTTACATTGAAAATTAACATTTCAAAAAACTAAATTAATCTGCACGTGTCCGATATGTTATTATTATATACCGAGTACTAAAGCCAAATACACTAGTCATTGCCAACAGTATGATTATCTCCATCAAACGATATGTTTCTGGTTTTTTTTTTTACAAAGGTTATATCAATATTTTAGTTCCACATGACATTTTTCAAGCTTCGTATATTTAATTTACCCAAAACATGTCATAATTTGAAGAGAATTATTTTTTTTATTTACAATAAAATTTAAAATGATTATCATCAAAAGTATTATACAATTTTTTTATCCTAACAAAATCACTTCTGTGAATTAAAACTTTATATTAAAAAATTAAATATATTTTTTTTTATTATATATTTAAATATATCGATCTAATGTGAAGGTCAATTTGTCACTTTGTATTCATAACTACAATAATTACACATTTTAGAAAAAGGAAATTCATGTAAAAAATCACTCCTGCTTTTTGTTCAACAGAAATTATAATATTCACTGCAGTTTTTTTCAACCAAAAGTAAATTATGTAAACATTAATTATAAAAAGAGGCTTTGAATTAATTTATTAATTAATTGATTGAATGTTTAATAAAAAAGAAAAATCAATCAACAATGAATGAAATTAATTAAAAAATCTTGACAGAGATTATCTAGGAGCCAAGGTCATAATGCACATCAATGATTTCTCTTCATCTTCCTGATTTTTGATTGACGCCAGGACATATTAATCATATGAGGGTTAAGAACCTGTGACTCACCTTCAATCTTTTGTTGTCATTGAAGCCTCATCGTGTGCTCGATCCTTCGACTGATTGCTCATTGCTTTTTTTACGTCACTTCTCTATTTTTAAACCCTCGTCTATTCTTATCCTATTCATTGTACGAGTAATAAAAAATAGAATGAAAATAACGTACTTCACTCATTTTTTTTTCTTTCAAGTGAGCGTTTGCGTTTTTTTTTATCTCTTATAGTTTATATTCATCAAAAAATAAACTGCAGGGGTGGTAGCGTTATAAAAGCCCCCACAAATATGTCTGTCCGTTACACTCATGAATGATAAATTTAGTGACAATCGAACGATTTTATACATCCATTTATCGTGACTGTTTATTGTTTGCTGTAGTAATAAAAAAAAAATTAAAATATGACTAAGTCAATATTTATAAATAGTGAAAATTGATCTGGAAATTGTCAAAGGTTTGTTCATTTAATGTTTTTGACATTTTTAATAATATTTATTAGATATAGAAACCTTTTTGTGCTATTGAAATAATTTTAACTATACTGAACAAGAGTTTTTTTTTTACAACAATTATTCAGTAATTTTGTTATATTGAAAATTATGAGAAAAATAATTAATTCATTGATGAAAAAAAAAATTAAATTTTAAAAAGAACTTTCACAATTTATTTCAACAAAGCTGAAAAAAAATCACTAACACCAGAAAATTTACATAATAGTGAAATAAAAATAAATTGCTGCATATATCAATTTCTCGTTCCATTATAATTGTTTATTTTATCATTACAAAATTGTTGAAACAATTGTAACAAGGTTTATCTCTTGCGTGAATTTATTCGATCTACACATCGATATACCCTCACGTTTGTTTTATGTATATTAAATGGAATTGACTTAAGCATTACTTGCTCTAGGCAAAGGTGAAAAATGCTAGCAAATTCCAAATGGCAAAGTGCTTCTAGGTCACGTACATACAAAAATTCAAGTGTTGTAATCTATGGTATAGTGGTAGATACTGAAAAACGACAGAGCAGCACGGATTCAAAGAATACAAGCAATGTTTTCTACTTCATTTTTGTTATTTTTCTATTTTCCAACATCATGTTTCCAATATATGAAGTAAACAAAAAATATGCACAATAGCAAGCTGTCAGGATATTGTTGGTGTTTAGTTATGCTATTTTATACCGTTGAAATTCTGAAGAAAAGTAAAATACACTAGCAGTTGCAAATAGAAAGGAATGTAGATATAAAATCCAATGGAATGACTTTTCTGTCAGATTGTCTCCAGTATTTTAGAACAGATGAGAAATTATCGATCATGTATCGAAAGTAAGGGGGTAATGGAGTCATAAAAAAGCAAAACCACCCATCTATTATTCATCGAGCCTGATCCTATAAATTTTGTTTGAGAGACTCTGAAAGACTATCTTAAGTGTCCCAGAGGAATTTAAAGTGTGTCCTTGCAGACAAAAAAGAGATGAAAAGAGACGAGAGTTATTTGATGAAAAAAAAAGAATTCTCTGGTAATGATTTCATTAATCACAAATAGGTTTTGGTAAGTCCTATCGATAAAAGATCATAATCTTGCTGATATTATCTTTATCACTAGTTAGAATAATCCGTAGAAAATGATTGGAATAGTTTCAATTATCATGATAAACTTGAATAATCAATTGTTATGAATTATAAAGTCGACATTGTTAGAATTATTGAGACATAAATGGTTCATAAATAGGTGGAATATAAAAAACTATAACTGTCAGTTGTTCGTGATTAGATGAAATGAGTTAAGAGGACATTTATGACATTGCATAAGGCTTTGGAAGCTGGAAATGGTTCAAACCCACTTAAACTTAGGTCTTGAGCATGTGTCATATTATTTTTAGTAATATCTCAATTTTATGCATCTTTATTTTTATATTAGGTAAGTTTTACAATTAAATTCTGTTGAGAAACTAATAATAAAAGATTTACATAGTTTACCAGAGTCAGAATAAAATTGGAATATTCTTTTTCATTTTTCTTACTTCTTTCTTGATAGTGAAATTATTTAATAAAGTTTGTTTTTATTTATTTATAGGCAATAATGTTATTCTTTTTAAAAATGATTTAGAATTGATCATAAATTTATGAGAGTGTCACAAACTTTTTCTTATGAATCAATTATTTTTATTCCATGATTGAGATTGATGGGGAGAAAAGTGTTGCACATAAACAGAAAGTGGAGTTTAAGTCTTCTCTTAAGTAGTAGTCGTTATTAATAGTGATTTTATAGAGTTGGAAAAATATTAAATAATCTCTTGTCAATAAATAATATACTTGACAATATTTTTTAGCACAAAAAATGGTTACATTACTTCATGCATATTTTTTTGTGCAAATAAGTCTGGAAATTATTTTAAAACTTTTGATACGTTCAACATTATTTGATCAAAATTTTCAGAGAACTTAAGAAACTAAAGCTCTTTAAAGCACAAACGTGTTACCTCATAATATTTATGCAAAGTTTAGCTTTTTATCTAAATATTTCATTGTGTGTATTTTATCGAAAGGAGAATCAATGGATGTGATGAAAGGATCCAAAAAATTGGCAACTTCCAGTGAGGAACAAAGAGAAATAGCTCCATCGATGTGGTATGCCCCAGAGCAAAGTAAACGAATTCACACAAAGTCGATCTCTCCCAGGATAGACGACCAGCCAAACTCAAGTAGAATCGATGCTTCAGGCAACGTTTCGGTACACCAATGTAGCCATTCTAAGTATGTGAATGTTGAAGGACCAAATGCAACTTTTATTATTACCTTGAGAAGTTTCCTGAGAGACGTAACAATTTTTCTTATAACTTTTATATTTTTATTGCCACTATTTGATGGATTATTCTAGAAAGTTTAATTTTTTTCATTACAGAAACGTTCAAGTAATGATGATCATCAATTGAATAACAGCAGTGACAATAAATTAGATAGAAATGTAAAACTTTATTCATCATTGATTTTATTTCGTGATGTAGTATTATACAAATTGAATGCACTATTTCACTTCTTCACAGAATCATTTACGTGATGTGAATAATGGACTTCATTCGGAATTGCAATTTCATGATAACAGAAGAAACGAATTATCTGAAAGTGGAGGTAAATTTGTTTGTATTTTTATTTAGCTTAGATTAGTCTAAACCTGAAAAGCTGTTTAATGTGAAAGTAGCAGAGAAGGTAGGAAATAAGGTAAGAAGGAAAGTCAGAGTGGAACATACTAATGAGGGATCCTCCTTTCGTAGGTAGAAAAGAAAAGAGGGTGATGGATGAAGAGGTACAGCAGGAGGTCAACAAGAAAGTCACCAAGAAAGCTGAGAACAGCAAAGAAGTCTCTGTTTCTAGTTATGAAAACATGGCTTCTTTAAATTCTCAAGCTGTTTTGAGGCAGGATCTTGCTGGCAGTTTGAATAGAGATATTCCAAGTCATATAGAAGGTGTAGAAAATAATTACAATGATATTAACAATCATGTTTAAGTTAGTAACAAGATGAAATATGTTTTGAATGATATAGAAACATCGACAGTTGTTGCAGCTGTTGAAACTGAAGCTGGAAAAGCTAATTCAATTCCAAAAGATCTTTCATTGCTACATAAACTTGAAGAAGTTTTTATCAGAACTGGAGATTACATTGTGCTAGTGTTATTGAAGACTCTTAAAGAACGATTCCATCGATTAAAAGTGGCGAAGAAATTTTGGTTGAAAGTGAATGAAACATCCAACAGCAATGGTCAACCTCAAATGACAGTTAAAGAAATACTAGCTAATCATATAAAAGACAAGTTTGATAACGGTTTTAAAAATAAATTAGCAGAGTTATTGGGAGTTTTAGCTAATGAAATTTCCACTGGCTCAAGATAAATAATAATTAATCATTCTGAAAAGTTTTCAATTGAATCGTTAGCAGATTGATAATATTGATCAAGTAATTTATTCTTGCTTGTTAAGCAGTTTTAAGAAACTTGCAAACTCGAGTTTCATCAGATAATTATCACACATCACAGGGTTGGTTAAAGTAGACTGTGACGACACGGTGACCTGTAGACCTACAAGTTTTACCTTCGACCCTTTCAGTTTAATTGGACTCTCGCGAAAGACATGAGCACATACCACCAACACCAAGATACGAGAATTACCTTGGATAATGATGAGACTTTTCGACTCTCCACTCTTCCATTTTTTACCTTTTCTTTCGCTTTGTAAACTTCACAAATGAGTTTTTGCTTTCCATAAACTTTTTTTTTCTTCATAATCTCAGAAAAGAGAAGTCATAATTTTTCAAGTTAGATCAAGTGTTCTTGATGATCAAATCAAATCTACTTATTGATTCTAAATTCTTAGTTTCAAGTATTGAACTGATTAAACAGTTTTTTTCTGTGTTTGCTCTCATTTTAATTAATCACCCGATGAAAAAATAAAAGTTAGTATTTTTAACTTTTATCTGAGAACAAGTGTTATAAATCAAAACTTTCACATGCAGATAAGGTTTAATTACGAAAGAGTAGTAAGGAAATTAGTGTAATATTAATTCCAATTGTTACAAATAGTAGGATAAATTTATATAATATATTTTTGTGACTTGTTAAACATTTAAAAATATTAAAAAAAACTTTTACGTTTTATTGTTAAGTAATTATATTAGTTGATAATTTATCTAGACATTTACAAATAATTATTTATTGCTAAAAAAAAATCTATTATTTTCTCAGAAAAAAAAATTATCTTCAATTTAATTTAAGAAAGTCCATGTTATTTTATTTTTAACTTTTATTATAAATTTTAATTAAAGAATATATAAATAATATTGAACACAAAATTAGATTATTAATTAATTTTAAATTTATTAATTTCATTGGTAATTTGAAACAACAAATTTTGTTAAGCAAGTCCTCAATAATTAAAAGATCATCCATCAGAAATGAATACAATTATTTTCATTTAAATATTCATTGTAATAAGCTTAATACTGTGATAGAATAATAATATCAAATGATTAAATTTTTCTTTTTTAATATTTCAGTGAATAAAAAATTGTAATAATGTCATTCTATCAAAGTATCAAATATTAATAAAAGTTATGGCTAATTTGTTTTAAGAATTCTATTGAAATACTTTAAGAAGCTTAAGTACTTTATTAAATTAACAAAAAACAATTTCAAGTATTTTTAAAATAAATTATTTATAATTTACGTATTTTCTGTCAACCGATAAAGTTTACTGAAATGTATACATAATTCATAAACATTCTATTAATAATTAATGTAGGCTCCATATTAATTCAATGCCAGGTAAATAATTATTGAATTTAATTACTTCGTATTCTGAATAAATATTTGTTTTGTTTTTTTTAATTAATTCAGCTAAAAAATTATAATTATTATAACAATATTTATAAACACGCTGATATTAAAGGTAGTAATAAGGTAGCTAAAGGGTAGTAATGAAGTATTAATAACCATAAGGGTGTAATGTACTCTCAGAGGATAATTAGCACTTTAGGTACAAATTTGTAACTGACTACCATTGTCAACCGCATGTGACCTCATCACTAGTCTGTCAATGGACGATCAGGATGACACTGATAGACGATGGGAAGGCTACTGTGAATATGGAGTGAATTTGAATTGTCTTAATCTAAGTTGAATTAATGATAGTACAAATTATCCACTTATCTTCATGTCAATGAGAAGGTTAAATTCAAAAAATTCCATAATCAAGTGACCCTGATTTTATCAATAATTTGACAACTGTCTAAGGTTTTTATACATTTTTAAAAATCAAATAAAATTTTATCGAAAAGCCGTCAAAAGTTGCAGCTATCTTTGCAATAATTTTTATGACATGTCTTTTTAAAAGTTTCTGAGAGTTCGTAACTTTCATTGTGCACTTAAGAAAAGATTGTAACAAATGGCAAATCCAGATAATCAACTGGTCTGAATGATGTCAACGAAATAGCACAAGTTGTAAAATAAGGAGTAAGTTTACAATTAGAAGTTGTTTGAAATTGTTTATTACGACAATAATGTTGAGAATATTATGTTCTCATTTTCTATACTGTTTAAAGGGAAATCTTTTACTCTTCATATTCAAGTGGAACTTTATAAAGGAACATCGTGTTTTATTTATACTAATTAAAATTTTTTAATGCAGTTGACAAACTTTATATTATATTAAAAATGACTGTTTGTTCAGTAAATAAATCTGTTGTGATATATTGTCAAGTAAAAAATTATAAATAAAAATAAAATTTTTCAAAGGAAGGGTAGAGAAAAGAATTATTCGTTAGTTGATATTTAGTTAGACATAGATGGTTATTCTAATAAATAGTTAATAATATTTTGAGGCCAGCAGAATCGATAAAGTATAACTCAATCGACAAGTTCCTTTGTAATTAATATTAGAATCTATTAGATTTGGAATTTAATTGATTGGCGAGTTTTCGTCCAAAAGTGGATGAGAAAAAACTCATTTTCGAAACTAAAAGCGTTTCAATCTTCTGAATTATTATCTAAAAAATAGCTGCTGATTCCATTCAATACATATTTAAATAAAAAACCTTCTTTCATTTAAATTGTTATGAAAGGAAACAGTTGATTTAATAATTATTTTTATATTTGCAATGAAACTTAAATAGATTTTAGTATTTAATTGAGAAAATATTAGCACTTTACTTTCAAGCTTGAATAACAAGTAATTACTGAATGTCTAAAGTGACTTACCGGTACAGCAGTCTCTCTTGACGATCAGCTTCTCTGTAGATTTTGTAGTACATCGCAATCATAATAATTCCTGGGACCCAGAAACTTACGCTCGAACTGACGACAGCATAAAGTTTGTTGACTTGGAACATGCAAACGTCTGGATACTTCTTACGATACTCCAGATGTTCGGCAGTCGTATACCACCCAGCAAATATTGGTAGAAAGCTCATGATTGTTGGTGAACACCAGACGACACTTAACATGGTACCGAGTCGTAAGTTGGTCATGATCAGAGGATAATCCAGGGGTTGAACAATAGCATAATATCTGTCGACACTTATACAACATAAATGAAGGATGGACACTGTGCTAAAAAAGACATCAAGTGAGTTCCACACGTCGCACATGAAATAACCAAAAAGCCATCGTCCAGAGAGCTCAACACTTGCGTTGAAAGTCATGGCAAAAATAGCTACCAGCATATCAGCCAATGCCAGTGAGACAACAAAGTAATTGGTGATGATACGAAGCTTACGGTGTCTCATGACTGACACAATCACCAAGAGATTACCAAATAGAGCTGCGAGGATTATGAAACTCATAACGATGGCTTTGGTGATGAGCAGAATAACTTTCTCAAGGTCTTGCGAATCGTCTAGAGATGATGTCACATTATTTTGGCCTGTATCAATGAACATGTTTATTAAATCATCTCTCGTCTCTGTGGCATTGCCTCTTAGCAAGTCATTACGTGCCATATTGGTCGACGTCAACCCCAATTGATGTTACTTGAACGACCAGTCCTAGGACTTGTGCTCGCACGTTGACACACTAACACTCTATCTTGCGTTTTCATCCTCGTATGTTTCTTGTGATAAGTTGCATCTTCAAGATATGAGTTGATGCACTAGAGACTTCACCTCATATATTGGTGACAGTTTGCAGCTGCAGACAAATACATGGTGTCCTTCGGTGCACTGCGAACAGAAAACAATTGTGTTAAAATGATGTAGGTACACATTGTGTCATCTCGAGGGAAAAATGTCATGGTATATAACTTTCCAGGCGTCGTGGAATTGTCAGTGTACGATACATAAACTTGTGATCGATTTTATTACGATGTTACTTCTAAGGAGGTCGAGAGATGTGAAGAATAGTCAAGAAGATGGAGATAAAAAAAATAAATAAAAATCATGAAATATTACTTGAGTCTTCTGCACATGCTTCCTGCTACATATTAGAGCTTTTTTTATGAACGACTGTGAGCTGTAGAGAATAAAGCAAATAATTCTAAAACAAATAGCTTATAATAAAAAATCATTTATTAACTATTTTTTTATGTTTTTATATCCAACATCTTCAAGGTGGAAGAGTAGATTGTAAAAATGGGGTTTAAATTTTTGGAGAATTCTGATGATTGGAATTTCCTGGTAAAAGTATCATTATTAATTAAAACAAATAGTAGATGTAATAAATTGATTTGAGATTAAATTGATACGGAAATTAAAATTTTTTTAAAGTATATCAACGTTAAGAAAATAAGAAATGAAACTGATGCGATAAAATAGTGATATTTTTTTCAACTTATCACTTTTTTTTTCATTCAGTAAAGACATTTAGGGATGAATAGAAATTTTTTGGAGTGATTTAATGACTTTTATCGTAAGATAAGAATAATCATTATCAGCATTAAAAGTTCCCTGAGATGGCCTTCATTTTGATGTAAATGAAATATATATTTATTGAAAAAAAAATTAATGTTCCACTTATTGATTTTCTTCAAGGTAAAATAAGCTTACATAAATAGAACAATCCATCATTACGTATTTACAATCAGACAATCTCTGTATCCTTAGTAGGAACGTAGATTGGCCCATTTCTGACTCAATATTGAGTCAATATATTTAATGTTGGCTCTATGTTGAGCCAGATATGAACAGAAACAAATTGTCTCTATGCAAGAAAAATTTACAATTGATTTCTGATAAATTTAATATAATTTCCTAAACTTCATCTATTATTCAACTTTCAAAAATTTACGAAATTTATAATAACAAAAAAATGTATCTTGTTTTTCTTTAATTCAGCTAATTTTCAAACACATCGTTTACTATTGTTTTAGAATTCATCAATTGTCAACATCACAGGATAAAAAAATTTAGAAAAAAGAGTCTTTTTTAATAACTAAAAACAATTTCCTTGTATAACTTTGACTCTTGGAGATGACTGTAAAAAGTTGATTAATTCGTTCGTCCCCTAGATTACTAATAGAATAAAAGGACAAAAAAGAGAATAATACCAGAGGATTTTCAGCAAATTAAATATTCCAGTTAATCCTCAAATATAAAAGATTTTTTCAGTGAAGTTATAGAGAATGGTAGAAGAATTTTTCTTAAATTGAAAATTATGATTTTAACATCACTATTTCTCTAAATATAAAAAAACATAATATTATGGTAAATTTATTTAGTTTATTTTGTATTATATAAAATAAGAGGTAGTATTCATGTATGTTTTGCATTTAAATGAATTCAAGTAAATATTTAAAACTTTTGTCTAAAGTTAGTAATGCGATTTGTAAAGTTATGGTTAAAGTAGAAGCTTGTTAATGTTCCAGATACTTGGGATGTGTACGTGTTATCACTCTCTGCAAATAAAACAGAAAAAATCACTGTGAAACTGTGTATATTCACTGCTTTAAAAGCACGATTTCATTTGCTATGGACACGGATGAAAAGAAAATATGAATAGGAAATAGAATTTAACACGAAATTCATGTTAATATTGAATTAATTTCAATGAATACTGTTTTGTCTTTTCAACATTGACATTTGAGAGCATCTTCAGGTTTTATTGTTTTTTTAATATACTATTCATAGCTGGTACTGAAGTGAGATACAAAGTCGCTAGGAGTTTCTTAAAAATCTCAAGAAAATATTCCTTTTTACCTTAACTCTTTATTTAAACTCTAGAACTTGTTAACAAGTATTTTTATAGAGTAATATAATTTTGTACTTCAGCATTTTATATTTTTTCAACTGAACAAATATAGCAGGATACATTTTTCAAAATTGTTATTTGATTTATTATTAATATTAGCTGCGTAGGAAGTTATGAGATCAGATATGGAGGTGTATAATACTTCGTTCATAAACTAAAGCTTGTAACAGAAGCATAAATATTATCCTTTATTTAATCACTCAGGCTTTAGTGTAGTAAACATCAAAAGGGTAGGAATGTAATATTTTTTATTTATCAAACAATTTATAAATTCAAAGTTTATTCTGGTAAATAACACTAGAACTGTTTTTTTTAATAAAAGTCCTGGGAATTGACTTATTTTTCTTTCTGCCATAAAACACTTTTTAAATTTATGTCCATTCAGACCTTTCACTCAAAATCTAAAATTCAAAAATTCTGCTCTAGAAAAAGTGGAACCTTCTTCTTAAAACAATTGAACCGATGATATTTTGTTCGCAAGATTTGTTATTGTAATAGGAATGATCGATCGTCCTGGAGCAACTATTCCACGATGACCTTACTACAATTCGAATGAGTGAAAAATTTTTAATATATTCTTGTGTTGGTGTATAGAATAGATTTCTCGGTTATTCCGATTTGACTAGTCTACATTCGTGACAGCTTGCAAGTTGCACAATTCAATCTTTCATCTCTGGATCTACTTGTGCTGTTGATATTCAAATATCCCCCCAACAAAATGAAAGTCTCGTTCAACGTATCGTTCCTAGTTGGAAAGATCGTATGACAGACACGTGTGGTGTTATATCTACGTGTACCTCTCTCTAACTTATTATAGGAAATGCGTGGGAGATCAAAAGCTTATGCCACATTTCAATTTGTTCGATCAAGATTAAAACAAATAACATTTCTGTTAGCTTTAGAAATTAAAGGATCAGTTTATTTCTCTCGTTGAATTATTTATGCAGTAATAAGTAATTCTTAAACTTTTTCTTTTCAAGTGAATATTATACATTTTATTACATCCTTTTTTTTAACAATGCTGAAGTTAATCATAAATAATATTTTTTTTATTTATTATCATTTGTTTTTGCGAGAGAACAATCTTTTTAAAATATTTTAGATGATTGTAATTTTCTTCTGAATTTTATCCGATTTTGAATCCTTTGAACAGGATTGATCAATAACAAATGAATAAGTGACTTTTTATAAAAAGCTAGTCGTATTGAATTTTTTTATTCATTTTTAAAAATTTCCATTCGTTTAAAAAACAGTCCAATATTAACTGAAAAACATGTGTTCAAGGTTTAAGTCATATTTCATTATTTTTATTTACTCCTTTATTTTTTATTCCTTCACTTTTTTCATTATTATTGTAAATAACATTGAAATTTAGTTTTTGTAAAAATACATACAGTTTTATATCTTTATTTCATGCTATTTCATACTTAATCATTGCAGAAATATTTTATATTTTGAATTTTTTTTATTTTTAAACTTTAAAAACAACTTGAAATTATTTTTAAAACATCATTCAATCAGATGCCCGAGGGATATTCTTGAATTTGTTTTAAATTTTAGACGAATAAATAAAATGAAAAAAAAAAATTCTAGAAATAGTTTGAGGAGTTTTAATTTATTGGTAAATAAACCTTTCAACTACATCGAATTTACTTGGAAAAAATTTCTGATTACGAGTAAGAATTTTTCATTACAAAACTCTGTCCTACTTTTGTTCACTTGTATGGCGATTTTCAAAAATTTATGTTCCCAAAAATGATTTCTTATTGAGCATTATTTATTTTGAATTATCCTCTCCATTTTTCAAAAGACCCAGTTATTCACAAAAAACTTTAGTATCAAACAGGAAGCATGTGCACAAGATTTCAGCAATATTTCATCATTTTTATTTATTTTTTTAGTTTGTTTTTCTCAACAAAAAACCCAAAATTGTCAACGTCTAAAAAATTCACTAAAATAAACATTACAAGTATTCCATAATAATATATTAACCTTTTATTATGATTGCATGCTATTTTTAAAAATGAAAAAAAGCTTCTTAAGAACAAAATAAAAGTAATTTTTTTGTGTAATATGCGTGTATATTGGTATAATAACAATGAATGAATATAGAAGTAGAGTGTGCTATTGCCATTATATGCATTAAGTTATTATTGTAACAATTTCATTTTTACTGGATACAGACAGGAATAGGCAAACTGCACAGGAGAGTGCGAGAGAAGCGAAAAAAAAAAGGAGGATAAGGGTGAAAAACGAGGCGATAAAGCTTGTGGTATTGTTGGAAAATGACTGCAAACGCCAAGCAGTCTGCTAGATGACATCATGTGGAATATTTTATTGCACATGAATAGTTTACTCTGGTTATCTCAACAGATACAAAACAAAAAAAATCAAACAATCAACAATTTACTGAATAGATTTACTATACGGTTTCAGGTCATGGAATCAAAAAAGTTCAATTAATAAAATCCTATCAAGCGACAATGATATGCTAAGTCGATATTGATTTTTTTTAGATTCTCAAAGACTGACGTATTATATTTTTTATACAAGTCTGTATGTATATTGATTGAAATTTATTCATAAATTCTATTGAGTTCTAGTCTGTCTATATACAGAGACTAAGTTAGATGTGAGTACAGACTATGGAGTAAAAATGTTCAGCATCTCATATGGAGAACAGAAGAACGAGCTTGAACCTTTGGAATTACACATTTCCATTTTATTCAGCCTTGTTCTGTTCTTGGCATTGACATATGATAATATAGCTCTCAGCTGCTTGCTGAAGACATCTAATAATGCCTCGATGTTTTGATAGACAAATCAGCAGGAAACCATCACTAGTCCATTTTATTCAATAAAATACATATGAAAAGAATAGTTGGTATACTAGGAACATTGACTAAAAAAGTCGAATCATGTTCAACATTTTTGAAAAGTGTCGGAGCAAACTTCGATTATTCTACTGTTATTTTTTTCTACAAGTCATTGTTTATAGTTATGTAACAATTGTTTTTAATCAGTATAATATTTATTTATTATAAAAATATTTGGAAAAAATGATGAGAAAAAATTTGGCAATTTTTTTTCAAGGTTTTTCCATTCGTACAAATGTTACAAAAAAAGTAGTTTTGATAGATTTTGGTCAGACGTTAAGTGGAAATATTTTTTTTCAATTTCCTGTTAAATTGTATTACATTACAAACTAAATATTTAAACAATTTCCTTACAGAAATAGGGTGAACAGATCAATAGACTGTGAGAACCGAATAGTAGACTCAGGAAAAGGACAAAGTCATAAATTGGAGCACCTTTTTTCAGGTTATAATTATAATAATGAATTGTATATTGTACGAGACATTTTAATGTAGTTTGTATATTTTATTTGAAACATTCAATATTAAATTCTTTCATTAAACTGATAGGTCAGATAAAATAGAGGTCATATTTATTGATATCAGTTTGAAGTGTTGTCAATTGAATATCTTTAATATTTTGTGAAAGCAAATACTGATAGAGAGAATAATTCATGTCAATTTTATTTTTATAATGAAAATATTTCATTAAAGAGTTAATGTGTTTAATAAAAACTAAGATCCATTTAATTTTATTGACATCAATACCGAGACCACTAAACCACTAAGGGGAAAAAATTAAATTTTAAAACTAATAAATAAATTCTTCATTGATTAATTGATAAACTTTTGATTACCAATTCATTATTTTTTCATCAATGATGGTTTTAAAAATGAGGGACAGAGTCAAATGTCCTTTTCATGCCACTTCTCCTCTCAATGAAAAATGGAAGAAGATTAGTCTGAGTAAGGTGTGTATCTGACATGGAGTAAAATCGAAGCATTGTTTTAAAAAGGAAAAAATGTTCATAATAGCTCGAGAGAGAGAGAGAGCGAGCTTTTTTAACGGCTGCTGTGCAGTGCTGTGTCATGATCACTGATGGCTAAAGCATTCCACTAAAGTCATTGAGGGGACAAAAAGATTTTTTTCAAGTATAGGTAGAAGGGTAGGTTGAGCTAAAAAGAAGAATAGAATTGTAAAAGCCCCACAGGCATTTAGTCTCATGCTTCGTTCGTCTATCAAGTCAACTTGATTCGATTTTCTCTCTTGGTGTCTACTGTAGTATTTTTACTCTTCCTTTACTGCTAGAGGCTCTCCATATATGACAACAATCTTCAAGGTGTCTATTCAAACGATCTTAATACTTTCTGGCATTTGATTAAAATTTCACTGATATTTTATAAAAACCAAAGAAATGGAAAAAAAAAAAAAAACGATCGTACTCTTCAATAATCATCTCTACCTCAGCTTTAGATTCCTTTCGCAGATTAAAGAAGGGGATTTCTTCTCAATGATGAGGTACTGTTCAGACTTAATGAGAAATTCTCGTTTTGAATTTTTCTTCTAGACGGATTGATAATTTATTACTAAGCAAATTTCAAATGAGAAGTAAATAGTGGTTGTCTTTGAGAGATTTATTTTATGTCAGAAGAGGTTTTTAATCTTCAGATAAAATTACAAAATAATTATTATGATTATTAAAAAATTTTATTCTTTATAATTTTTAATAATACTACTGATTATAAACCGATTTACGTGACATTTATTATTAAAATGAATTATTTATTTATCTGATATAAAGACCCAACAGCTTTTAAGCTAATAATAGGGCTTGAAAAATATAAGTAGTGATCAAAACTAGAAACAAGTGTTTGGAATAATAAATAGCAGTCATATAACTGAGAGATTAAATAAAAAAAGTGTCGTTTTTTACAGGAGATAATTACAAAGCAGTGATTAGAATTTCGTCTTAGGATTTAGGATTAAAAATAATAGTCGCTACTTTTCATGTAATTATTTTTTTCTTTTTAATAAATGAAAAGCTTTTTCTCTTATTTAATCTAATTAATTATCATTAGAGTTTTTTTTCTCATTTTTTGATTATTTTAATGCAATATTTATCATTATTACTATTATTATTCGTGAAAGTGAATATTAATATTCTATGGTTTTCATAAATTCCTTGATATTTCATTTGGAAATGTCGATATTAAAAATATATTCATTTTTCAAATGGAATTATTTCAATATCTGCAATAATATTTCCGGTAACTTAATACTACTTGTTGGTTTTTTTCCAAAGCTGGATTAAATATTTATTATTTCAAGTACGTTCATGATAGACAAATATCATATATGAACAATTCATTTTTAATTATTTCGCTTCATATTCACTCTTTATATCGAATTATTAATCATTTTTAATTTATTTTCTTCAACTTTATACTCATTTAATAACATTCATGTCATTCATCTATACGTTTTTGATGTTATCTTGATAAATAGTTATTTTAACTGAAAGCTATCTATTTATTTTTTCCAAAAAAAAAATATTAAAAATAATTAAATAGCTTTTTATTGCAATTTTCACTGAAAAAATGACTTTTTGATATTTTATTTTTGATTGTTTTAAATAATTGATGAAGAATTTATTGTTAGGGAGATTAAGAAAATTGATAAAAAAATAATAAAGAAAGGAATAAATTTTACAAAAGTTAATTTTCTAGTAATCTTTAAAACTCCTGGTAATTATAAAGTAGTTTTCATGGTAGTTGCAATCATTAAAACAGTCATGCAAACTCTGTGCCACACTGTTTTTATTTATCGAACATCTGCTTTTATCATTTTTTTAATTTTTCATTAGTATTAAATATTATTTTCTCCATTTTAGTTTTCTACTTTTTAATTATTAATAACATCGAAAATAAATTTCCACGACTTCTGTTACGAATATTAAAGTCATTCAAAAGTATGTTTTTAACTTTAACCCAGTACGAAAAGTTGAAAAAAAAGAACATTGTCTTGAATAAAATTGAACATTCATGCTTGTTCTATTTTTATAATTCAGGACATCTGCGCCTCGTTAATTTTTTTAAATATATCATGTCTGCGGAATGAAAATATATATTTTATTCCACGTGTTATCTAATATGAAGATGTTTAATAGACTGAGCGTATTGTTAAAAATAGAAGTTTATTTAAATCGATATGATGAATTAAATATAAATAATTCCCAGGATATATTTAAGTAGCATTTAATGATTACATTATAGTCAATATATGCGGAAACTTACCAATACCATATGTTGTCCTGATTGAACCAATTATCCTTGGCATTTTAGTTGCCAACACACCGATTGATTGTTCACCCGACTCGACAGATAATATCAATTCTCCCAAAGGAATTCACTTGCTACGAAAATCACGTAGGTCAGTTATTTCATTATTTACTCGTTGATTTTACTGTCCCACCTGCACATTTCCAAATATTTTTATCACTCACTTTATTTAATTCATAAACTGCCTTCGATGTTGTTACATTGTTATTCAATTGTGCAATAATCACCCACATTTTTCACGTTTTTTTTTTTATTTAAAAAATTCCTTCAAATATTTTCACTCACATACTGAATTCATTTCATATTTTTTATTTTTATTTCTATCAAAAAATAACAATTTATAATAATTAAAATGTCAAAAACAACTCACTGCAATAAAAGAACATTTTTATTAAAAAATTTTTTTTAAAAACAATTTTTTTTTTTTCATTTAAGAAAAGAAAGAAAATTTTAATATTTTTTCTTCAAAAAAATTTTGTGTCATGAATTTTTTTTTTTTCTTGTTTTAGATTTTCCGCTCGTGTCAAATTACAGCTTATTACAAATTGCGGTGTAGCTCACACGGCAGTCGGGGCCGGAGTGAACAGCGGGTGGTTATGGCTACGAAAGCTTTCCCGCTTTCCAGTAGTAGCGCTACCCTCTTCTACGCCACCTTGTCTACTACAGTAAGTAATATAACCCCCTTTCCCTCCACCACTCTGCCATTATTCCGTCTTCTTCATCCATTCGTCTCAGCCTCTAAATTACCCTTATCCTTAGCAAAGTCTGTCCAACTAATAATCCTTTAATTTTCACCCCTAAAACATTACCCATTTTCTGTCTTCTATTTCAATCAACAGAATTATTTTTTTATCACTGACTTCATTTTCGAGTTTATACGTTTAAATTTAATCGCAACTTTGAATAAGTATGTGTTACAAATAATCTTTAATATTATAACATTTTTTAGAGTATAAATTTCAAGAAAATTACTAGTGTATTTTTCAGATTTAATCATGTACTTCAATTGCTACTTCTTAAAAAATCTGTGCCATGCGTTCTCTTATTTTTGACGTATTTTCTATAACTTCCCACCTTGGTTTCTACTACCACTGAGCAGTTAGTTACCGAATATTTCAATTTACGTGAATGCCACTAATAACATTTTTATCTGAATTGTCTTTCCAAGTATCTGGTTTCTTTCTTATTTTTTATTATTATATACTACCATACAGCACATTTATTTCTCTATTAAATGTTATGCTAATGATTGGCAGATGAAGGTTCAAACGATGGAAGGAGACTGATGTCGATACAAAAAAATATCCTGCACATTTTTTTTTTTGTGTTGATGTGGTTGCAGTATATCAAAATCTGTTCCAGTAGTTATATATACTCTTTTAATTATACCTTTTCAGGTGAATTTTCTTTTTCATCATTATTCCGTGCTATAGATTGTACTTTCTATATGGAAGTAATCAATAACGAAAAAGCTTGACAGTTGAACCGATATGAATAGAGTCACGATAATAGCCAGTTTATTGACCAGTTTGGTTTTATTAATATTTATGAAGATTGTTATTTTTTGGGGGTTGAAATTAATTTAAGGTATTTTCGGTTATTGCGTAGGTTATGAAGTTAAATGGTATCAATGGTAAAATTATTTTATCATGAAAACAGTTATAAATATTAATACGTGAAAAATAATTCTATTAGAAATAAAAATGTTATTTTTAGCTGCTAAATAAATCCTTAAATTACATTTATTATTTTATCTAAAAATATTTTTTTTTCTTCAAAAATAAATACACATTTTAATGATTGTTATCAGCTTATTATAACTTAATAAAAATTAATTCAATTACCAATATAAAATTTTAAAAAATTTGAGTGATAAAAAATACTAAATTATATTCTTTTTTTTTTAAGCTTGAAATTCTTCTAATTAACAATTTGCAAAATTAATCCAATTTTCAGAAGTATGTATCAAAGTGAATTTTATTCATAATTGTACAAAGTTCTAGATTTATCTCTAAAAATTCTGATCTCATATAATTCGACGTTAATTAACTGTACATCGTAATGCAGTGACTTTAAGTAGAGTGGGTGTACCATTTGTGGTGGCATATTTCAGTGATACAAATTGAAATAAAATTTAATTGAAAGTTAAACAATCCATAAGAAAAAATGAAAAGCTCCATGTAATTCTGTCAGTTAATAGACTTTTAAATTATCCTCTAACAAAAGATTACACTAAATGCATTAAATTATACTTAAAAAAAAACAATAATTACTAATGAATAGTACTTCGCATCATTTGTTATCATTTATCAATTAATTATTATTAATAATAATAATTATTATTAGCAATATTCTCGTATGTATTATCCATTATTATTAATCAATATCGACAATAAAGACCATTTAAATTCTTTCAACTGCATTCACAATAATAACTTTATTAAACTTTATTAAAATTATTATTATAAATTATTAACAATAAAGGACAAAAAAATATCTATGACCCTTATAAAAAACATATCAGTGTTATTACTCATATGTAATGACCCCCTTTTTCATCATAAAATAAAAATAATAAAGGTGAACGATAAAATTTATCGCTCGAAAAACTCGAGGAAACAAAGCATGGGAATTTGAATAGTGTTGGAAGATTTATCGACATAAAAGCATCCCGGTTGCAAATAAGCATAGCTCATTAATAATTTTCTGGCTGGTGAAGTTAGTCTTAACTTGCATGTTATGAGATTGTATAAGGACCACTTACGGTGGTGTGCATGAAGCGAGTGGAAAGTTTTCATGTTATTAGTGAAGTTATAGGCTCCTACTTCAAGGCTCGAGGGTTTCATATGACACCAATAGAAGTTCAAAAAGATCCGTGCGATATTATTTGACTCACGAAAGTAGGCCGTTGGAGATTTGTTGGTCATGTAAAACCAATGTATTTTGAATGCTTAATTACTTATTGTTATCAGATAAATTCCTTCTCTTTTATTATTGTTCATTTCTACCTACATATATATATATTAAACCCTATCATCAGGATTTTCTATTCATTCCTGATATTCCTTCGGCATTTCAAATATTTTTCTATTGAACTCACCACCTCAGTTGTGCAATATAGTACTTTACTTTGGCTATACATTTAAATGTAAACAATGAGCATAAAAATAATCTCCATTTCTGTATACGATAACCGGAGGTATTTTAAGAAACTTTTGTACATTGTAAATGTATTTTGAGGAAGGAATTTTTTTTAATCCTTCGGGAAATTATTATTATTATTCAGCTTTGTGGATTTTTTCTGGTGACAGACAGCAAGAGAAAAAGTCACTTTGCATTGCTGGAGTTGAGTGCTTATCTAATAGTAGAAAGGCAAACACGTAAGAGACTAGAGTAGGATGCATGTGCATATGATACTCTTTGCATAACTGTCAACCTGTTTATTGTTTATTATTTTAAAGAACTGAGTTTTAATTAATATGTAGAAAATTTCAATTTGTATTTACTCAAAGAAAAAAATAAATAACTTTAATTTTTTATTATAAAAAATATATTTTTTTTTTTCTGTTTAAGTAAAAAATGTTTTGATATTAAAAGAGAATTGAAATAATTTAAGAATATTTATTTAGTACAGTTTAAATAGCGATGTTTGTTTGAAAAAAATTGATTGCTTTTTAATAATCGAAAAAAACATTTTAAGAGTTTTAAAATCATTTATGTATTTTTTGATCAATCATCAACTTGTGCTATGACAAATAAAAGGAAAGTAAAGAAAAATCCATCATATTTTTTATTACCTTTCAAAGTCTCTGTAAAGATAAAAAAAAATATCAAAAAAAAAAAAAATTGAATCAAAAAAGTTTATTGAATTTTTTTTATATTCAGAAGAAATAAATAAGCTAAATGATCTTCACTATTTCAAATGTCAAAAATTTATTCAACTTTTTATACCTTAGGATTTTGAGTTGACTTTAATTTGTTAATTTGCATAAATCCCTCATATGATGATATCAAATGTGATAATCAATTTTCCGATTGAATAAGAATTAATGTAGTATGAAAAAATCTTCAATCAACTGTCTCTAATCAAATAAAAAAATTACTTTTTAATTTTCATAAATTTTTAAAGTGGTTCTCAAGTCTCAAGTAGAAGAGATTAATAATTAAAACAATAAATAAATCTAAATATGCCATAAAATACTTTATATTCATTGTTTTAATAATTAAAAATGATTTAAGTATCCAAAGCTCTTTAGAAGCCACCGCAATGTTATTGTATCATAATGATAAGAGAAATGAACATCGATGGACTAAATTCTGGTAGGTAAATTCTAGCATAAATTAGAATTTCATGGAAACATTCTCGACCAAGTTAGCGAGAGAGATACCTCCTATTAAACTACAAGGCCCACATATAAATTTATCGGATTATTGTGTACACAGGATTACACCGACTACTGAGTGACCAGACGCTTCCTCTCAACCGCTTAGAGAGGATCCAGAAAACCTGGTTATCCGGACGAATCCGTAGAAATGTAGTATAGTTAAAGATGTCCTTTATTAAAGTCACGATATATCACAACAGCTCGAGGTAACTGTAAGCGAAGGATGGATTGTCAATAGTATATGGGTCTCATTGCCATTAAATCACCGCCTCACGAATCGTTATCGGTTATGCTTGTGTCGGGCCATTACAACCCTGCCAATCGTGTGTCTCGTTAGTCGTGACCTGGTGGGAATATTATACGCAAACGCCAAGGTAACCTGAGGGGAGAGAAACGACACAAAGGAATCGATGATGAGACCATGATTTTGTTTTTTTTCTTCTTCACTCTTTTACAACATTTTTATCTCTTTTATCTACATGAAATTTATCCCTCCTCTCGATTTAGGCATCGAAGAAATACATGATGATTCGAAGTCGTTCTCATTCCGATAAGATATTTAGGTCAATAAATCTAAGCACATTATTTTCAGTGAAATCAGTCTAGTGAAGAATGTACGAAACATGCAGTTGTGATTTATGAGAAAGTTTTATCGTTGAATTCGCTGAAAAAAAGTGCGAATCACTTGAGTAATCCGCTCAGAATCAAAATATAATCTGGGATTTTATTTGAAATAGGAAAATCTTCAATGATGTCTGTATATATGTATGTACATAGAAAAGGAATAAATCTTTTCTTTGATACGTTTTATACAGGTGGATAAAAGAATCTCATATGTTTAAAGGATATTTCAAGGCAGTCTTCATTCCAGTAGAAAATATCTTCATGCAAAACCTATTCCAGTCTACGTGATGAGTTTATTTAAATTC